TACTACATCAAACTTCAGATAGCCAACGAGTCTTTAACCCACAGATTTAGCTCCTACTTAACGGACTTAAGCATGCACATGTGTTATTGCTGTGACTGAGTTAAATACCTGGGCACATTCATCTACACTCAAATAACATGTTAAGGACAGATTTTGAATATAAGCAATACGAAAGGTAACAGCGACAAGGCAACACTTCATCACTATGTCAGCGGCCAAAATTGTTTTACACATTCAACATTCAAAATGGTGGCTACCGTCGCGATAGCTTCGGTGCTGTGTTTGCTTGTGATAAGGTTAAGTAACTGGTCAGTTGTTATCGGTAATTTTCCGATCAAAACAAAAATATGAGTTCATGGTCTGATGATTTTTAATGAACAAAAATGGTGTCTCAGGGCAATGGCATATTGCTGAGTGCGGCGTTAAACAACAAACAAAACAAACAATCTTACAGTCAATAGATTGAGTCGTTACGTTACAGTCAATAGATCGAGTCGTTACGTTACATTCAATAGATCGAGTCGTTACAGTCAATAGGTGGAGTCGTTACGTTACAGTCAATAGATCGAGTCGTTACGTTACAGTCAATAGATCGAGTCGTTACAGTCAATAGGTGGAGTCGTTACGTTACAGTCAATAGATCGAGTCGTTACGTTACAGTCAATAGATCGAGTCGTTACAGTCAATAGGTGGAGTCGTTACGTTACAGTCAATAGATCGAGTCGTTACGTTACAGTCAATAGATCAAGTCGTTACAGTCAATAGATGGAGTCTATATAGCGACGTGCATGCACGTACTATTCCGAACTGATGCCGATTTATAGTGCCAGCTCACTGAGATACCATGCCGCAGTTTAACATGAATACCCCACTCAGACACAACATACTGACTTCGAGGTGACCAGTCCTTGTTTTAGCCGAGAGCGACAGACAGGGTAACAACAAGTACCATCTTTTAACGTTTTTTGGTATGACGCGGCCCGGGATCGAACCCCGGACCTTCCGCTCTCCGGGCTGACGCTCTACCACTAGACCACGGAGTCGGTCGGTCGTGAGCGACAGGGATGGTGGAATACAATATGCGTGTTTACTAGTATGGTAAAAGCCAATGGCCTTTTAATATCTCACACGTCTATCTGGAAAAAGAATTAGGTAAAGAAACTTGCATCTGAGCATTCTCAAAGACGTTGAAAGAAGGTACTTGTTGTTACCTTGCCTGCTGTTAATTTATCTTAAAACGTCATTTTATCACACTGTTGAGTTTTAGTTAAGAAATATAGTTTGCTCTACCCCCGTGTGTGGTGTAATTAAGCAAAGTGTTACTGAACTATTATAGTTAAAGCATGAGGACGCTTGCGTTGCTTTGACGTTATAATACTTAAGGGCAAAACTACATTGTACTAAACAACACATGTGGCTAGAGCAAACTTTATTAATTTTCTTAGATGCAGAATTATTATCCTAACTTAGTACTCCAACTTCTAAATGCCTATCAAAGAAAATATGATTGTAAGTTTCATCCTCAGAACTATTAACAATTATTTACAACTGAGACTGAAGACTATATGATATTATTCTAAATCTATTCAGTTAAGTGTCGGTTGCGTTTTTTCGCTCGCATTTTTCAAAACGTTGTTCTGCATCATAGAATGGCAGAAATATACCCCCGCTACAGACGGGGCCGAATGTATCAGCGTCATTATTTGTACACTCAGGTTTGTTCTTCGAAAACGGGAAATATTATGTGAAACAAATGTATTTTGCAGGGCACAACATTGTTTTTAAGGATGGCGAAGAAATGTAGAATGTATAAGGGCAAATGTTCATTATTTTATGACTAATTTAGAACGGACGTTAAATGCGAAAACAATTTGGCGCATGTCACACGGGCAATCGGCATTTCAAACTTATCACTTTGTAGAGCCACGTGTTTTTTCCCTTCTTTACACAACCAAACATCGTATCGAACATCTTGTAGTGTAGTAAGCTGATCTGTGATGAATGTACTGCCGCCACCGCTCGGAATGTGTTGCAAAGAGTTTTCCTGACACTGAATTTCCACTGTGTTGCACACGCGCTTAGTCAAGTAGACCTGTTGCTCTTTTACATTCATTGTATATCATCATAAAAATGTCATCACTGAAATATTATTCTGTGGCATGTCGTATTTCGACGTTTGTAATACTGTATAGCCCGAGACATCAAACGATGTAAAATTCACCAGTTTCAGAATCTAGTTAAGAGAATGTTTGGGGAATAAAACATCAAGCATAGTCACTTGGAACAACAAATAATTTACGATAGGTCGCAGCATTTAGTAGCCTGTTACCATCAAATGGCAAAGGAAATAAGGACACAGAGAAACCATCAAGACAGTTGTCGATTTGACATGTAACAATTGTGTAAAATGTCCATTGTCCACAGACAAGAAATATGTTTTCCTCTAGAATTACACTGGTGGGCGTCATATCCTGGTCAAAATACATATAACGATGTGCACTGATTCTCACTGACAACAAAACCCTGAGTATAATTTAAATACACAGGAATAATATAGAAGGAAATGAAAATTAGAAAACAATGTTCAGTATTTGACCTGTATGTACCATGTTGGTTTGCTATTCACAGAATTGATGCTAAAATGTAGATATAACGCACCAACTTGAGGGGCCAATTCATTGTCACAACAATTCCACCCAAAGTTAAGGCACTCAGATAAAATACTAATCATTTAATAATTGGGAACACTATGTATTTAGCTCGCCAAGTCTCGCTAAATACAATGTTTATTCCTAATGCAGGATATTTACCATCCCGAAACACATTCACGTGATAACCTCTATCTATTATTATCCTGATAACTTGAAACAAGTTAATTGCTTTGCCAGTACCAACATAAGTCTCAATTCAACAAGCGTGTACAAACGCGCGGCTCAGATGAACAGCAATCTCAACGTTTGTGTTGTATATTTATGATAGTCGTTTGAGTGATTTGTTAGTCGCTAGACTACCTTATATGTTTAGTAATGTTTTACCTCTACTTAGATTAACGTATTTAAAATTGTATTAGATCTAGCTCTAATCAGTAAAAAATTCAAATACATACAATTTGTCAAATGGCCATATCGTGTATGTATAATGCTTGTGTGGTTTGTATTGTTTTCTGAACAACATGTTCTGTGTTTCAGCCTCGAGTGATCCGAGTCGGACCGAGGGCACAACAGTGACGACCACAAGGACCACTGGGGACAACTCAGCAGGTAGAAAGCCCACACTTTAATCCCTCCACAATTAACAAGCTGGGGTATAGACCCGTGCGGGTTCTGACTTGCTTCATGCATGTCATCGTATACCAGTGTCGATCGGTGCTCATGTTGTCAGCCACTGGACTGTCTGTCTTTATCCGACTCCGCCATCTTGTTGCTGGACTACTGCAAACAAACAGACTGACATACTCCAATGCCATATCTTATTAGATCTAGCTAATATTTCCAAACAGCAACGTTACTGACAGTATCATCTTATAAAGCTCAGTTCATCAAACGTTAACACTATCCAGCCATACACAGAATAATGTTACAACAACTGGATGTGACAGAAAGATTTTAAACATTGACGACGTAATCCTTGATTACATGAACCAGCTGATCCTTGTATTGTCAGCCATGGTGGAAGTGGTTGATGACGTACCGTGTCACGTATCACTACGTTGAGGTGTGAACCATGTAGATGTATGACGAAGATGTCTGGAAGTGTACAGAGTTTAATTTGTGTTACAGCGACTCCATCACCAGCAGACTGCAGGGACCTCTCTGTCGCCAGCAGGAGGGGGAACCTGGAGGAGGTGAAGCGGCTCCTGTCGCGGGGCATCGACGTCAACTGTAGGCGGGGAAAGTGGAGCTGGACACCGGTGATGCCGGCAGCACGGTGGGGACACAGCAACGTGGTGAAGCTCCTGGTGAGTAAAGGGGCCGATGTGTCACTGGTGGACAAGGACGGTGACAACATCCTTCGCCTCGCCTGTATGGGAGGGCACTTGGAGACGGTGGAGTTTGTGCTGTCTCTGAACGTGGTGGACATCAACAGTAGAGGAGGGGGGAGCAGGACACCGGTGATGACGGCAGCAGAGTGGCGACACAGAGACGTGGTGGAGCTCCTGGTGAGTAAAGGGGCCGATGTGTCACTGGTGGACGTGAACGGTGACAACATCCTTCACTGGGCCTGTTGGGCAGGACACTTGGCGACAGTGAAGTTTGTGCTATCACTGAACGTGGTGGACATCAACAGTAGAGGAGGGGGGAGCAGGACACCGGTGATGAGGGCAGCACTGAGGCGACACAGAGACGTGGTGGAGCTCCTGGTGAGTAAAGGGGCCGATGTGTCACTGGTGGACGAGGACGGTGACAACACCCTTCACCTGGCCTGTTATAGAGGACATTTGGAGACGGTGAAGTTTGTGCTGTCACTGAACGTGGTGGACATCGACGCCAGGAACAACTCGGGGCGGACAGCGGCCGACGTGGCGAGACGCAGGGGACATACGCCAGTGTTGGATCTGCTCGTGTCCCACGGCGCTCAGTGACGTCTGTGTCGTGTTTGTGTAGACGGTGGAGAAGGACGCTGACAGTGACGTGGTGTGCCGTTCACGTCGTCGTGTGTAAATATGTCTTCATTTACGTAAAACTGTTTGTTGTTTTTGGAGATGAATAAAACTTGTAAAAACTATTTCAGACATTTTGTCATTTGTTGTGTTTGGAACTTCGCATCATCAGGTAAGAAAATTGTTAACTAAGTGTAAATAGAGATGATGTGTGAATTGTATGTAAGCACCCCACCTCGTGATATACTCATGCATGTCGCTATAAATGTCTGTGTTAGTTTTACGTCATAAGTATGTAATTAATCGTGAAACACAAAAAAACTGTTTGTTTACATCTCGCCGACTCGGTGACCTCAGACCGAGGCGAGGTTCGCCCAGCTGACGTGGCGCCAAATGTACAATGACAGTGACGTCACACTGTCGATGACGTCACGGCATTCCGGCTTAGGTCTAAACACCAAAGCTGCCGGCTGTTTTCTCTGCTAAATACGAAATCGGTAATTCACAGGGCGGCACAATGCTGGCTTCAGGACATATGCAAGTACAACACAGGCCTCATCTAGGCGATATAGTTTAACAAAGGTAAAATATACATCTGTTTCTATGGAGATGTATTGCATATTATTGCTGCTGAAATTTAAAAATAAATATTTCTGATTGGCGAGATATATATTTTCTCTCTCCCATTTTAATCAAGCTACTTCCCAGCTCGTGACACCTTCTTTACACTCTCGTCTTACGATTGACCAGATTTCCCAGATGAATTCAGAGCTATAGATACGGTTTTGGCTATTTGGTGTTGGTTTTTTTACACAGGGGCAGGATGCCAAAGGGACATATATGTCTCTCCTCTTCAAACCTCACTTTGAAGTCGAATACAATTCAAAATACATCAGACACGCAGATACAATTCACAGTTTTGTATACTGTGAACTTTCCGCCATATCAGATAGTGTTTACAAAATCACATTTCACATGTACCGGTAATGAGACGCCTGAAAGATTACGCGTATTTCAAACTCAGCTGCGATACAAACATCATTGAATTCCTCATACATTTTAGAATCAAATGACACATGGTCTCCGTCACCAATACAAAGTGCCTAGATAAAATCATGCAAAATAAGTTAGGTGTGAAAACGAACGCTGCGCTAAAATAAAAACTGCACTTGTTTGAAATATAAACAAAGCAATATACAGATTTTACAGTGTTGCATTTTCCCCTATTTTGAGCTATCCATTTGTCTATTCGTTCAGAATATGCGTGGGAAGAGAATCATAGGAAGAATAAGGGAATAAATAAACTATACATTGCTATGGTTTGATATTTTCAACAGAAATTGTCAAAGCTACCGTCCTGTGTGACGCCATGACTGACGCAAAATCACACACAACGACAACGGTATTTATCGGAATTTCTTATGTTTTCCGTTGGTTTCAATCAAAATATAATGTTCAACAAATAACAGTAAACAGATTGTCAGAATGTTTCTTATTACTTACATATCACATTTATGTATATGCGATCCGTGAATCAACGAAAGTCACCTCGTACAATCCCGCGTACTGTTGACTGTGAACACGTCATTTTGTAAATGTCGGTCACCGGTAGTGATGTCATAAGTCAACATTGTTGTACACATTTGGTAGTTTCTTAAGGTGAAGGTCCTTGAATGAAAGCACACACGATCATTGTATCCCGTTGTTTAAAGTTTCAAGTGTGATGTAGATTTTGCATATCTCTTATACATATTTTCACACAATTAATTTCACTTTGGATATTTGTCAGTGTTCAATATGATATCACACGTAAATATAGGCCACAACATGTATGAATGAACCTTTGATAATCTCGTGTTTGTTTGAACATTGTTTACATAAGAAATTGATAAGTTTATAGTGTCGTATATGATATGTCTTTCCTTTGGACAAGTGTTACAAGGTGAAATGTATATGTAACTGCAACATGGACGTATTTTTCGGGAGTGTAATAGTCAATATTATAAGTTCATATAAACAATTTCCATGAATAGCCGTTTCATTTTATTTTAAAACTAAAACTGAATATATTACTTTAACGAAATGGATAATATTTTTCGTTAAAATATACGCACACATTTCAAGGAGAATTGTCTTGGTCTTGGAATTGTTTTTTAGGTCCTTTGATATGCATAACAGTGGTATCTAACAATTCGAAGGTACGCGTTGTCACATTAATTAACGAATAATTTCTCTCGTTTTGCATTATATATTCAAAAGGTTCACCTTTTTCTAAATATTGTGCTCAAAGGACATTAAACTGTTTACATTATTTCTCCGAGAATTGTAAAAAGTAAGTAGAGGAGCTATATATTTTCAATCAAAATACCAGTGTCGTCTTTCTCCGACGTTGTCAAAGACATAAAACCAGCCATGACATCAAAAAGAATGGTGTGATTGTTTTAGTATTTCATTACATCACAAGGCTAGTGCTCCATTAATAATGGTGAAACATAAGCCAAATTACACTTTCACAGTCAGAAGAAAGTTGTAATCTAATTTACAGCTTTGATAGGGCCATTCATTTTGCTATTGCTTTTTTTTTTTATGAAGTACATTTTCATCATTTCTTACGGTAATATAAGGGAGTATTCAGTTTCAATATCGATATATGTATTGGAATAGTTTGGTTACTCGTGAACAAAATACCATGAAAATATACTGTCCTTACCCACAGCTAATTCTCACCAGGTGACCTGAGTTTAAATAAAACCATACTCCCACTGTCATAGAGAAAAATCAGTTTTCGTCATTTACGGCAGGCTATTTCAATTGCATTCAATGTATGTCGTTATACATACACATATAACTCCATTTGATATATATTTATGTCGTTCAGATATCAGGCAGAATTTTGTTCGCTCACAGTTTCTGTAAAGCTGCTAAATAAAAAAAATCGTTGCACAGTACTTTTACCAGTGTACGATAAAAAGCTGCGAAATTTCCTGAATAAATTATCGGACAACACTTAGCAGAATCTTTTGTTCAAACCGGCGTAATATCTGCAGTTAAATTTACACCATCAGATAGGAAATTAAATACTCTGCGTAATCTTATAGCCGGAGGTAGATCCAGTCCCGCATGAGCGTAATTGTCGCACAACCTTCACTTTTCTGATCTTAGGAAAATGTGCGTCAGACAAGAAAACTCGTCATCCAGCGGGTTAATTTTGATTGCGTATCCACAAGTTTTAAGATACAATATGTATAATGTATACTGACGAGGTACGATGTGCTTTTCATTTGGCATCTATCAGTTTGTTTGTCGCAAACGCTTTTCCGAATATAACTGACCTTAAGTGAATTTGGCGATCGGCTGATACACAATCATGTTATCTAACAGCTGTAACATATGCAGTCGTTTTATCTAATAGTTATAATATAAGCATAGTTTTTATTTAAAGAGCATATTTATAGTTTTGGTTGCGTATTTGATACGCTAAGATTTGATTTTTCTGCGTAGTTCAGTTTATTTAATTCGTATTTTACGCAAATACACAGCTCATCTCGAGCTCTGGAATTTACCTTTTTCTTTGTTTGATCAGATTGGATCGAGATTGCAGACTAACATGAAATCACTAGACTGGGTTCCTGTCTACCTAAACTAAATCGCGCTAAGCTTGCGTGGCGTACCAACAATGGAACCAGTTTAATAAATTGCGGCCCCGCCAATTGTACAATTTTGTATCCCCACCACCTAGGGATGCTTCCAGTCAAATTCCGTTAGTTTCGACAGACGCCACGGTATGGCATTAGCTCAAGTTGGTCCTTCGAACCAGGTGAGCTAAAAATACTAAAATTCCGCCGAATAGCAATTAGAATAAAGCAGCAACACTTGGCCGATTCAAAGGTAAACGTCAAACAAAAACGTAGGAAAAAGTAGATGTAAATCCTCATTTTTTTTCTAAAATGGACACTTCAAATCTGATTTGTACTGTTGTCTTTGCTCATTGAGACGGTGGGATAGCCAAGTGGCAAAAGCATTTGCTCGCCAAAGGCACGAATTCGATTCCCCACATATGTACAATGAGTGAAACGTATTTCTGGTGTCCGCCTTCTTATTCCCTGCTAGTATCAACACCTGATGTATAACAGCTGCAGAACATTCACATCCACGACTGATGCACATCCTTGTTATTCCCTGTCAGTCTCAACACCTGATGTATAACAGCTACAGAATATACACATCCACTACTGGTGCACATCCTTGTTATTCCCTGTCAGTCTCAACACCTGATGTATAACAGCTACAGAACATCCACATCCACTAATAGTGCACATCCTTGTTATTCCCTGTCAGTGTCAACACCCGATGTATAACAGCTACAGAACATACGCGTCATGGACTGGTGCACATCCTTGTTATTCCCTGTCAGTCTCAACACCCGATGTATAACAGCAACAGATTATACACATCCACTACTGGTGCACATCCATGTTATTCCCTGCCAGTCTCAACACCTGATGTATAACAGCTACAGAATATACACATCCACGACTGGTGCACATCCTTGTTATTCCCTGTCAGTCTCAACATCTGATGTATAACAGCTACAGAACATACACATCCACTACTGGTGCACATCCTTGTTATTCCCTGTCAGCCTCAGCACCTGATGTATAACAGCTACAGAACATCCACATCCAATACTGGTGCACATCCTTGTTATTCCCTGTCAGTCTCAACACCTGATGTATAACAGCTACAGAACATCCACATCCAATACTGGTGCACATCCTTGTTATTCCCTGTCAGTCTCAACACCCGATGTATAGCAGCTACAGAACATACACGTCATGGACTGGTGCACATCCTTGTTATTCCCTGTCAGTCTCAACACCTGATGTATAACAGCTACAGAACATATACATCCACTACTGGTGCACATCCTTGTTATTCCCTGTCAGCCTCAGCACCTGATGTATAACAGCTACAGAACATCCACATCCAATACTGGTGCACATCCTTGTTATTCCCTGTCAGTCTCAACACCTGATGTATAACAGCTACAGAACATACACATCCACTACTGGTGCACATCCTTGTTATTCCCTGTCAGTCTCCACACCTAATGTATAACAGCTG